ACATAATCTCTAATGTAAACAGTCAGTAAATAATCTCTGATGTAAACAGTCAGTAAAATAATCCCTGATGTAAACAGTCAGTAAAATAATCCCTGATGTAAACAGTCAAGTAAATAATCCCTGATGTAAACAGTCAGTAAAATAATCCCTGATGTAAACAGTCAGTAAAATAATCCCTGATATAAACAGTCAAGTAAATAATCCCTGATGTAAGCAGTCAGTAAAATAATTCCTGATGTAAGCAGTGAAGTAAATAATCCCTGATTTAAGAAGTCAAGTAAATAATCTCTGATGTAAACAGTCAGTAAAATAATCTCTGTATATAAACATTTAGTGAAATAATCCCTGATGTAGTCAGTGAAATAATCTCTCATGTAAACAGTCAGTAAAATAATCTCTGATGTAAAAAGTCAGTAAATAATCTGATGTAAACAGTCAGTATAATAATCTCTGATGTAAACAGTCAGTAAATAATTTGATGTAAACAGTCAGTAAAATAATCTCTATATATAAACATTTAGTGAAATAATCTCTGATGTAGTCAGTAAAATAATCTCTCATATAAACAGTCAGTAAAATAATCTCTGATGTAAATAGTCAGTAAATAATATGATGTAAACAGTCAGTAAAATCATCCCTGATGTAAACAGTCAGTAAAATAATCTCTGTAAACAGTCAGTAAAATAGTCTCTGATGTAAACAATCGGTAAAATAATCTCTGTATATAAACATTTAGTGAAATAATCCCTGATGTAGTCAGTTAAATTATCTCTGATGTAAACAGTCAGTAAATAATCTCTGATGTAAACAGTAAAATAATCTCTGATGTAAACAGTCAGTAAATAATCTGATGTAAACAGTCAGTAAATAATCTGATGTAAGCAGTCAGTAAAATAATCTCTGATGTAAACAGTCAGTGAAATAATCTCTGATGTAAACAGTCAGTAAATAATCTGATGTAAACAGTTGGTAAAATAATCTCTGATGTAAACAGTCAGTAAATAATCTGATGTAAACAGTCGGTAAAATAATCTCTGATGTAAACAGTCAGTAAATAATCTGATGTAAACAGTCTGTAAATAATCTCTGATGTAAACAGTCGGTAAAATAATCTCATGTAAACAGTCAGTAAACTAATATCTTATGTAAACAGTCAGTAAATAATCTGATGTAAACGTCGGTAAAATAATCTCTGTATATAAACATTTAGTGAAATAATCTCTGATGTAGTCAGTGAAATTATCTCTGATGTAAACAGTCAGTAAATAATCTCTGATGTAAACAGTAAAATTATCTCTGATGTAAACAGTCAGTAAATAATCTGATGTAAACAGTCAGTAAAATAATCTCTGATGTAAACAGTCAGTGAAATAATCTCTGATGTAAACAGTCAGTAAATAATCTGATGTAAACAGTCAGTAAAATAATCTTTGATGTAAACAGTCAGTAAATAATCTGATGTGAACAGTCGGTAAATAATCTCTGATGTAAACAGTCTGTAAATAATCTGATGTAAACAGTCGGTAAATAATCTGTGATGTAAACAGTCGGTAAAATAATCTCTGATGTAAACAGTCAGTAAAATAATCTCTGATGTAAACAGTAAAATTATCTCTGATGTAAACAGTCAGTAAATAATCAGATGTAAACAGTCAGTAAATAATCTGTTGTAAACAGTCAGTAAATAATCCGATGTAAACAGTCGGTAAAATAATCTCTGATGTAAACAGTCAGTAAATAATCTGTTGTAAACAGTCAGTAAATAATCTGATGTAAACAGTCGGTAAAATAATCTCTGATGTAAATAATCTGATGTAAACAGTCAGTAAATAATCTGTTGTAAACAGTCAGTAAATAATCTGTTGTAAACAGTCGGTAAAATAATTTCTGATGTGAACAGTCAGTAAATAATCTGATGTAAACAGCCAGTAAATAATTTGATGTAAACAGTCGGTAGAATAATCTCTGATGTAAATAATCTGATGTAAGCACAATCAGAGGGAGAACAGTGGGATCACAGACTTTTGAGAAGAAGCTGAGAGGTTGAGAGGACTCAGGAGAAGGTTGATGCTGATCAAATGAGCTGAATCTTCTGAACTCTAACAGGATTGTGTCTAATCTGACACACAGTCATTCAGTCATGTAGGAAGTGTTAAAAACATAAAAAAAAATCAGATAAAACCAGTTGAAAAGATCCACAAAGCTTTGAGCTGTCACTGACTCAGAGACTTGTTGTGTTTGTGATTCTGCAGACCCCGTTCACCCTAACCCTTCGCTTGTGGGACATTTTCATCCTGGAGGGAGAGCGCCTCCTCACTGCCATGGCCTACACCCTCCTGAAGATACACAAGAGTAAATAATCCATCAGTCATCTCTGACTGCTCTTTTTTATTTCTTTTAGTCACTTCAGTAGAAAACAGAACAGAATATGAAGATTGTTTATAGAGAAAAAGAAAGAGAAGAAAAAAGAGAAATGAATTAGAGAAGATATGAAATGAAAACCAAGAAAACACAAGACAACACACCAACATCTGTCTGCACACCTGCAAAAATGGAGAAAACAAAAACACAGCAACAAAATACATATCCTAATAATTATAACCTTCCTGAAACATGCTTAAATGTAAATGAAACATCTCAAGTAACTTTTAAATGTCTTTTTGCATCATTTTATAAACAACTGTATTTAAACTCAGCTCTTCATCATCATCATGGCCTCATCTTCCTCCTGTCTCCTGCAGCAGAACTTCAGCTGCTTCCAGGTTTCACAKGTTCTCTTTGTGTTTGGTGCAGAGCGGCTCCTGAAGATGTCCTTGGAGGAGCTGAGGGAGTTCTTGCAGGAGCGGATCTCTCAGATCTTCTTCCACAGCGATGATGTTGTGATTGAGCAGCTGCAGGCCTCCATGATGGAGCTGAAGAAGATGAAGCTGGACCTTCCTCCTCCAGGTACAACGCTGTGCTTCTGTCTGATGGTGGAAGGTTCTGTGACTCGGTGTCTTTCTGGATCTCTTGACTTGATTTCAGGGAAAGCTGAGGAGCTGCCTCAGAAGCTTCTTGGGGAGGAGCTGCTGGATCCGGTCCAGCCCTCCAGAGTGAGGCCGTCTTCAGATGCTGGTTTCCCCAGAGCTGGACTGAGCCTCCACATCATCTCCCAACGTATGGATTCTGTATGTGTAGACCAGAGTCCCTCCAAGGATCCCAGTGGTCCTGATGCTTTGGAGGAGCAGGAGACCCAGCTGCCCTCTCCTGACCCCATCATCATCCACAGTCAGGTCCTGCCCACACCTGACCACAACCCTCTGATGGGACCTCCACCGTACCAGACGCTGGCCAGCCCAGTCCCAGCTGATCATTTGTTCCCACTGCCCGACCAGGACAGGAATAAAACCTATCTGGACCCAGTGGACTCGACTGGACCTCAAACCTTTTCAGCATCTATGATCCAAGACACAGCCCCAGCTCTGGACCTGGTTCAGTCTGAGAGTCTGTCAGGACCAGAGGGGTCTGAGGACAAAGGTCCAACCCAATCATTAGACCAACACTCCACTTTGTTCTCCAACAGGACCACAAACCAGGATCTGGGTGCTGGACCAGCTAAAAACCAGGCTTCAAACGGTTCCTGAGAGTTCAGGAGGTCAAAGGTCATCATGGGTTTGATGTTTTGATCCTCAATGAAGAAGTTTACAGTATTTAGCAATAAGTGCTTCAGACTGGTCTTTCTGTTCAGGACCAGAACTGATCCTGGGTCTGTTACTGGTCCAACATTCAAACAGAGCCTTTCAGTCCAGGTTCATCAGTTCTGGAGAAGTCACTTTGGTTGGTTCAGTCCTGAAAGTTGCCTGACTCTGAAATGACTCTTTAGTTTTTCTGTTGCTGCATTTAAACCTGAGTCCTCATTAAAACTCTTGATCCGGTCCAGAAAAGTCCTCATTAAAACTCTTGATCTGGTCCAGAAAAGTCCTCATTAAAACTCTTGATCCGGTCCAGAAAAGTCCTCATTAAAACTCTTGATCCGGTCCAGAAAAGTCCTCATTAAAACTCTTGATCC